CCTCCTCCGTCGCCTTCCCCGCGGCGCCAGGCTTTGCCGCATCATACGACGCCACGACGGTAGCCGCCGCCGCCGCCGCCGCGGGGGGGGGAATATCCATTGTCGGCCCCGATTTCGGCTTGTTGCTGCATGCTCGTCCAGTGCTGGCGGCGCACTGCATGACGAGTGTTCAGCTGAGCCCCGCTGGGGATCATTTGCTGGTCGCGTACGGCCGCCGCCACATCAGCTTGTGCAGTTTGGTGTCTTGTGCGGGGCAGCTGGCTGCGGTACACAGCGTGGTGGAGATTTACAGGTACGGTATACGGCACATGCTTGTTACGGTGTACGGCATAAGTATAGTACGGCGGCGAGGCGTTGGACGTGCGGCTGTGCGAGCCCTAAGAAGTGATGTGGAGAACGCTTTGGTTTGTGTATTGTTTGTTTGTTTGTTTGTTTGTTTGTTTATGAATACTCTCTGAAATGAAGTGCCGTACTCTCCAAATGCTCGCGCATCTGCGCACGTGCACTCGGTGCGGGTGTATGTGGTTGCGTTACTTGCGTTTCCCACATGCATAAGCCCCTCCTAGCTCTCTTTCCTCTCCCCTTCGCCCCGTCTGGCGCATTAGTCTACGCATATCCTCCTTGGCATCAGCTTTACTCGTTCACGTGGTTCATCTTCCCCCCTTTCCCCCCCTTCTCACCCCCTTTCTCCCCCCCCTTTCCCCCTGCAAAACACACACGCTGGGCTCCTGGCCCCCACACCTTCCAAACACGCCTCAGTGTCCCCGACTTGCGTCTGCGGCGGGTGCTGCTGAGTGCGGACGACGAGGTGAATGTGGCGGTGTTCAACGCCTTCCCGGCGGAAGGAATGGCGTACGGCACCAAGGAGGGCCGATTGCGGCTCATGCGATACGACAGGTTGGTTGGATGTGCGTGCATGTGCGTGTCATTGGTTCGTGTGTGGGGGTTGGGGTGGGGTGGGGTGGGGTGGGGTGGGGGGAACGTGTCTGTGGCGTATGTGTGTAAATGCTTGTACCGATGTGTATTTTTATCGCCGCGTAAAGCGATTTGTCGCGGTTTTGTCGCTCTTTTCCGCGAAAATCGATCTCCACGCGTACGGCACGAAAACCCCTTGCCGTACCTCCCACCCCAACACCCTCCAACCCCGACTCCGCACCTCACCTTGCAGGCGGCCCCCGCTCCGCAGTGCCGTACCCTTCGTGGCCCTCCCCCACCCTTCTTCCCTTTCCCCGGGGCAATGAGATGGCAGCACTGGGGGGAAGAGGTGGGAGGGGGAGGTAAGGCCAACGGTTTGCAGAGGGCCTTTTGGCGGCCACCTGGGGGGAGTGTCGTACCAGGAACAGCAACAGTAACAGCAGGCCTCTTTTTTTCCGGCACCTGCAGGACCGGTGGTGGTTGTGGTGGTTGTGGTTGTGGTTGTGGTTGTGGTTCACCTCATCGCCCCCCACACCGTCCAAACGTATGCAAGGGCATCCGGGATGTCCGTACCGTTCCGTACCATACCGTACTGCAGTGCATGCTCTCATGTTTTTGGCCATCCCGGCAATATCAAATGAAGTCTCTTTTGCTGTGAGGGTGAGGGTGAGGGTGACATACCCTGATAGAGATATGGGGGGGAGGGGGGGCTATGGAGAGCGGGGAAGAGGCTAGAAAAGGAAAGGAAAGAAGCTAGGAAAGGGAATAAAAAAAGAAAGGAAAGGTAGCAGCAGCAGGAGCAGGAGGAGGAGGAGGAGAGGAGGGGAGGCTGTGAGGGGGCCGAGTGTTTGTGTATGTGTGTGTGTGTCTGTGTGTTTGTGTGTTTGTGTTTTGAGTGGTGCGTTCGGCTGCCTTCGCAGTGCCGGCTTGGCTTTAGTTCGTTTTCCATGTGTCTTCACTTCGCTTTGTGAGAGAGGCTGCTTAGCTTTGCTGCTTAGGGTTTTAGGGTAGCTTTGCTGCTTAGCCAAAAGAGCTGCTGCTGCTTATTCGAAGGTTCTGCTTTTCTGAAGGGCGCGTAGTCTCCGGATTGCTGCAGACACAAGGGGGGAGGGGTCTTTCAGAGGCACGTTTTTTCATCTTCTCCGCGCAGCAGTAGTGAGCACTAGTTACTACTGAGGAATAAAGTTTGTTTTTTCATATATATGTATGTATGTATGTCGGCGAGGACTCATTTTTTTCCTTTTCCTCCCTTTCAGGTTCAGTCAGACTTCCTTTATATTAGCATTTGCGTGCCTTGTGCTCAGCTCAAGAAGAGAGGCCCCCTACTCTTAAAGCGCAGGGGCAGGGGGTGGCAGAGAGTGCTGGGACAGGACTGTGCACACTTCAGGGTTTGTGTGATGGCGGCGATTGTAAGGCTGGGTAAGCCTTAACCCCCACCCCCCATATATTCGCACAACAGCCTTTAAGCCCCGTGGCCACCACAAGTGCGGAAATGCGGAAGTGGTTTTTTTTCGGATTACGCGGAAATGTCGCGGTGGCTGGAGTGGCTGTACGACGAGTTTCTTCTAGTCGCAGGCAACCTTTGTGGTGGAGACGGAGATTGGATTCGAAGGTGGTGAGGCTGGACAGGGCTACCTACCCAGCTTGGGGCTAGGGTGGTTGCATTTGGCCGGTCGTGTGGGTGGGGAGTGCGCGTGGCCGCTTGCTGTCGATGGCTTGACTTCGCTGCCGATGTGGGCGTCTCATGGCGGACTTCGTTTTGAGCTCGTCCTGAGGTTACCCTGGATTGGAGATCGGGCATGGAGAAACAGCTTGTAATGAGGTAACTTCAGCGGTGAAAGTCAAAAGTCCAAAGTCTTTAGGTATTATGGTTAGAGACCACATACATCGAGAAAAATATTGCCAAAAGAATACGAAGCATCTTTGTTGGTGCCTCGCTGGCACGGAAGGCGATACTTTTTAGCATCGGTAGTTAACGGGCGAGCAGAACGGTCTAACGGCCTCGTGCCGTTGGCATCACATCTACTTTGCCACCGCCCTCAAAATTCTCCAGCGTACTGTCAAGGAGACGTGCCGGCAATACGTTGTCCTTTTGAAGATACGAAAGATTTCCTGAGTTTTTAGCCCGGTTGTCGACGGCGTGTTTCCCATCGACCAGTCCCTTACATAGCCATGACAGCCTTGCCATGCACACGGCCATTCTCTCGGACATGTCGCTTGCCTTTTGCTAACGACGTCCGCAGATTAGCCAAGGGCGCTAGGCCTGTGGCGTGCCATGCTGCGGGCCGGTCGCTTTGGTTATCGGAGAGCGTAAAGACGAGCACCTTAAGCGCAGCAGCAGCCGTTTTTCTTCTAGGTATATTTATTATCACAAAATTTCGCTCTTATACAGCATCTTGATGCCCGACGAACGCATATGATTGCCTGTCTATTTCTCTATTTCAGGCTGTCCTCTGGACGCTGAAGCTGCAAAGAGCAAGTTGCCACCTATCGATACCAGCAACCCGAACCGCTGTGACGTGACGGCCCTAGACAAGTTTGCGGACACGCGTGCGGCCTTTTCTCAGGAATCCAGCGGCGGCAACATGGTGGAGGCGATTGTTGACGTGCGCGAGTGCAACTTTTCCGGAAAAGACCTGGTGGGTGCGCTGTGGCCCTGCTGGGGGAGGAAGGGGCTCAGGTGGCCCCGCTGTGGCGCTTAGAGATGTGGGTCGTTTGCCTCGGGGGAGAATGCAGTCGGATAGTGGCAGTGGGCCGGATTTGCTGCATATCAGTGGGAGCCTCTTTGGACTGGGTTGACCTGGGCTGGGTTGATCTTGTTGTTGTTGTTGTTGTTGTTGATGGGGTGTTACACTGTGGGCGGCTCGCCCGATAAAGGACGAGCACCGGGGGCCCTGACCGGGCCGAAACACAGCGCAGGGATGGGCGCGCGGCTCTACGTCCGTCTGTTCCTCCGCGCGCGCCTCGATCCCTCACTCACTCTTGTTGTTGTTGTTGTTGTTGTTGTTGTTGTTGTTGTTGTTGTTGTTGTTACAGAGTGGGAGGCTTCTGGGCCACTTGAACACATACATGTCATTTCTACAATTAATCGCCATACAGCACCATCCACCATTACCACACTGTACTACGCCATACGAACTGGAAGGTCCAAGGCGGTTGATCCTTCTGGCCTTCTAGGACCCCTCCTCATCATTGTTTCACCCGAACATCCGTAGAGAGAGAGGGTTCACCAGTCGCCAGCAACCCAGCGTGCGAATCTCGATCAATCAACTGTGACCTCAACTCCACATTTCAATGTCGGGGGCCTAGTCAGCTATCGACCCCAGGACCTCACATCGCAAATTGTAGGAGTGCCTCCAGTACAGGATTGATGATCTGAAAATTGTGCCTAGCGAGTTTATCCTTTCTTTTGACGCCCCTCCTTCCTGTCACCCGTTTTCTCACCGACACAACCGACACGACCTTCCGGACCTTCCGGACCTTACAATCTATCGTCTAAGCTTTTGTGTCTGTCCCATTTCTAATTTTAACAATATTTCCCGGCGGCAGTCCGGCAAGGTGATGAGCGGAGTGATTCTGGAGCGAGCCGATTTCACCGGGGCCAAGTTTGTTGGAAGCCAGTGAGTTCAGTGTGGTGGTGGTGGTGCGGTGCGGTGTGATGCTTGGTGCGGAATTTATGGATAGGCAGTGGGAATTTTAGGTGGGGGTTAGGTGGCGGTATCCGCGCTTAGGAAGGGGGAGTTCAGTTGCTTGGATTAGAGGAAAGGGGGGAGTGCAGCGGTGTGTTTGGGGGGTTTCGGTCAACGGCCGCGGGAGTTGGTTACTGTGTTTTGTTGCCACTTTCTTCTTCAGTTTGTCCTTGCCACTGTTTTGGGTCAACAAAGTCAACAAAACGACGTCGCAATGACTTCATTTTTCATTTCGTAGCAGGAGCTTTTGCCTAACCTTCTTGCCAACAACTCGTCGTGTTATGTGATGATATGATATATAACGAACAGGTTCGCTCGCGCCAATGCCCGGTCAGCCCGGCTAGCCGGTGCGGACTTCACGGACACGAACCTGTACTCCACGCAGTTCGACGGAGCGGACCTACAGGTACGGCAGCACAGACGTACGGTACTATAGACGTACGGCAGTACGAACGTGCGACAGTACGACCCGATTGGGTATAAAATCTCGCCTTTCTTGCGCGCCTTGAATTTTTTGCGCGCCTCATATTTCAGTATTTCTTATTCATATTTTTTATGCTTGCGCCGAAATGGCGTTGCAACTTTCCAAATTTTAATCGCGTTCTAAAGAAAATGCCAGACCGTCAAGACACTCGTCGTGTGCTCGACGCAGGGCGCCAACTTTGAGAATAGCATCCTAACGGGCAGCACATTTGGACGAGACGAAGCGGGAGTTTGGGCCAACCTCAAGGTGCTGCGTTGTGTGTACGGTCTGTGGCGTCGTACATGATTACATCATACGCATTGTTTCATTCATACAACACATCTGAAAATAGATTTCTTGAGGTGTGCTGCTATCTTCCATTTTCCATTTCCCATTATCGCTCCTTGTCGGCCATTTTCCTTTCGAGCATTTTCAGTCCGTTGCCCCTCTTCCCTCCTCCCTGCTATATCACGTGCACACACATGTTTATTTCTCTCCTCCCTCCCCCAAACCACTTTTTCAAGTAACTGCCCTCCTCGCCATCTCTCTCTCTCTCTCCCCCTTTTTCTTCTTTTCAAGGGAGCCCACTTCGAGGGCGCCCTCGTGTCCTCCTCGGATATCGGTCGGATCTGTGAGAACCCCACCCTGGAGCTGTCTACCCGCAAGTACGAATTGGGCTGCCGGTCAACGCGCTGACCACCCGGGCTGCATTGCACCGTTGTTGTTGTTGTTGTTGTTGTTGTTGTTGTTGTAATGCGAATGGTGGTGGTGATGGTGGTGGTGAGGTGGAGGGAGGAGTGACGGAGGTTGGGGTGGGGTTAGGAGCGTGATGCGAATATGTGGATGTGAAAATGTATGCTAAGGGTTTGTGTCAGCTCTGTTGGTTGAGTAGGGCAATATGCAGGAGGAGAGACTAGATGAACTTGTGTTGATTTGCAGTATTGGCCTCAAGGCCGCTTTGGTGGTACCAAAAGTGATTTCGCTGTCTGCTGGGATGTATAAGTGTACGACATGTGAAGTATCGATCGCGGGCCCCGATGCAACCACTCCTACCGTAGCAGCGGATAATTCATTCGTACACATATAGCAGTACGGCATCTCCCTTCGCCTCTCGTACCGCCTCACGGTTGCCATCTCGAAGATGCTTCGGAGACTTCAAAAAGGAAGGGGAACGAGTACAGGAAAAAATGCACGATAGGCGATCACAGGCTGCACAAAAATGAAAAGAATGAACGAACACATAATATGCTGCGCCCTTAGCTCACGGCATGTCGTACTACAGATACACTTGGTGGGGGACGAGCTAGCACACACGAAGGAATGCACTACGGAGAGGCGTATACCCACAGAACGCTGATCCCGTCTTTCTTTTTCTTTATCTTGCAAACCTAGAGTATCGCATCACGCATCACCCTTGCCCCTGAGCCTCCCCCCCACGAGGTCCGACGCCCCGGCTTGCTGCCGTTTTGCTGCTGCCGGGGGCTCCAGTGCCGCACCGTGTGCCGTACAAAACCACTATCACCGCAAGCCCCCACACCGCGCCACCGTCTCTACCACCGCAGCCCCTGCCGTCCCATTCATTCGCCTTGCCGCCGCCGCCGCCACCGCCGCCACCGCCGCCAGTTGCTTATGCTGCTACATCCGGGACCTCACCGTCCTTTGCCGCCGCCGCCTTGCCGCCGCCGCCGCCACCGCCGCCAGCCGCTTATGCTACTACATCCGGGACCTCACCGTCCTTTGCCGCCGCCGCCTTGCCGCCGCCGCCGCCACCGCCGCCAGCCGCTTATGCTACTACATCCGGGACCTCACCGTCCTTTGCCGCCGCCGCCTTGCCGCCGCCGCCGCCACCGCCGCCAGCCGCTTATGCTGCTACATCCGGGACCTCACCGTCCTTTGCCGCCGCCGCCGCCGCCACCGCCGCCAGCCGCTTATGCTGCTACATCCGGGACCTCACCGTCCCTTGCCGCCGCCGCCGCCGCCGCCGCCGCCCTTGCCACCGCCGCAATTGTCGTCATTGCCCTCCGGGCTGCCGCTCTGCAGGAACGCGACGGGGGAGTAGCACGCCAGCGGCGAAGTCCTGAAGCGCACCTTCCGAGATTCCGTGTGGGACTCGGTGTGCTGGTGGCCTTGGCCTTTATCGCCCGGCCTCTGCCCCTGCCCCTGCCCCTGCGATATGGAGTCAGACCAATCCACAGTCCCTGTTGCTGGTGCTGTTATTGTGGTTGTGCGCTTGCGCTTGGGTTTACCGGCGGATTGTCTCTTCGACAGCTGTGCGGATGCGAGAGCTCTAGCTGCCGCCCGGAGCAGACCGCCGTCGGGGGAGTCACCATTCTCCGCCGCACCCGCCGCTTCGCCCTCCGCCTTCGTTTCAGTGCCGACCACCACCACCGCCATCGCGGGTAGGGGGGCATGCAGCTGCACCGAATGCGGCGCAACGGGCGGTGCTGCTGCTGTTGCTGCTGCTGCTGCTGCGGTTGCTGCTGCTGTTGCTGCTGCTGTTGCTGCTGCTGTTGCTGCTGTTTTTGCTGCTGATGTTGTTATTGCTGCTGATGTTGTTGTCGTGGTAACAGCATCACCCGTGAGCCGCTGGTGCTCCTGCTCCTGCTGACTCGATGCAACTGCTAAGCGACATGGGGTAATCCCCACCGCCGTCGCCGTCGCCTGGTTCGGATCTGGGACCAGTGCCAAGGGGGGCGCGGCATGTCCTGTATCGCCCGGAGGTCTCGGACCCACGGGGGGCGTTGCTTGCACGGCAGGCAGGTCTGTCGCTGACGCTGCCGCCGCCAGCGCGTCGGCCGGCGGCGGCGGCGGCGGCAGCAGCGCAACGTGTGGTCCTTCCCTGTCCCGGGGCTCCTCCAAGACTGCCGCCGCCACTTGTGGATCCTTCGCCGGCAATGGTGCCGTACTCGCTGCCGTACTTGCAACGGGCTCGCGTTTAATAGCCGGTCGATGTTGTGGCGGTTGTGTAATTGGCGGTTGCGGCAACGGTTGTGTCGATATTTTCCGCCGCCGCTTTTCGGGCCGCTGGTGCTGCTCCTCCTGAGCCTGTGGCATAAGCAGCGGCAGCGGCGGCGGGGCCGGCGACGGCGGCGGCAGAAGCAGCAGCGGCGGAAGTGATGGCGGCAGGGAAATGGACTCCTGCAACGGTTTATCCAGCGGTGGCGGCGGCGTAGGATGCTCACCACCGCGGTTTCGAGACCGATGCCATACAACCACCTCTTGGCAGTTGTTCCGCCGCTCTTGCGGAGCACTGCACTGCGTGCCGTAACCCCCACTGCCGCCACCGCCGCCACCGCCGCCACCGGCAACAACAAAGCTACCACCATCGCCGTCACCACCGCCTGCAGCATCGACGCCACCATCACCGCCACCTGCTTCGCAGCCACTCGCACCTCCCTCACCCTCCCCACACTCCTCTTCCTCTAAATCGGTTTCGGGAATCATGTCGACGTCATGCACATCGGCCCCGCCAGTGGCCTCGGCAGCAGCAGGAGCACCGCCGCCGCCGCCGTCAGCTGAATCCGGACTCAGCTCGGTTAGAGGCGGCCTCAACTCGCTTGGGACAAGCAGCAGCAGCTGCGAAGGCGACGGCGGCGGCGGAAGCGCCAGCCGCGGCGGCAGCAGGGAAGCCTCCGGGTGGTCTGAGGCGCTACTATCACCACCACCACCACCACCATCATAACCACATAACCGCTGACAGCGGCCACTTGCCACTTGCTCATCAGCCAGCTGCTGCCGCAACGGCGGCTGAGGCTGCGGCGACAGCTGTTGCGACGGGGGCTGTAGCAGCAGCTGTTGTTGCGGAGACGGGATGCCGCTGTTGTTAGCCGCGTCAGCTGTCGTAGCAGCAGCAACAGCAGCTGTCGCAGTAACAGAGGCTATAGCAGCAGTAGCAAAACCGGTCGTCGCAGTAGCAGTAGTTGCCTCGGCGGGGCTTACGGACTCGTCCAGCTTGATGCGAATGCTCATACTTGAGCCCCGCGGCTGTAGCTGCTTCTGCTGCTGCTTCTGCTGGAGCTGTAGCTTCCGGCCCCCAGAGTGGCTCTCCTTCAGCGCTTTGCCGCCACCGCCGTTACTGCCGCCGCTGCCGTTTCTGTTTGTGCACGGTGCCGTTGCTGCTACGGATGCTGCTGCCACCTCACCTCTCCGAGGGGGAAGCGGGGAAACCCCTCCGGAGACAAAGCCGGGTGGACGAGGCGCCTCGTGAGCCCCCGCCTCCTCTTTGACCTGCGGATTCGAATGCGGCTGCTGTTGTTCCTGCTGCTGTTGGTCCTGCTGTTGGTCCTGCTGTTTCTGCTGCTGCGGGTGCTGCATCTGTTGCTGTGAATGCTTCGGCTGTGTTGGCTGTGACAGCAGCTGTTCCTGCTGCTGCTGTTCCTGCTGCTGTTGCATCTCCCGCTGTTGCCACTGCTGCTGCTCCTGGAACTCATCACGCGGCGTCACCACCAGCGGCTGTTGCTTTTCCGCATCCCGCTCCTCTTGTCGGTTGTGCTGCAGTTGCTGCTGCTGCTGCTGTTGCTGGATCCCTTGTTCCTGAGTCCGTGGCCGCTGTTGACCTGTTTGCTCTTTCACCTGTTTTGGTTGCTTAGACCGCTGCCCCCCTGACGGAGGAAGGGACGACTTAGTCCTCACCCCCAGTTCCATCCCCTGCCGCTGCTTCACCTGCCCCCTCCCCTTCAGCTGCGGCTGCTGTGGCTGTAGCGGTTGTGACGGTTGTGGCTCTTGCTGTGTGTGCTTGGGCAACCGTTTTACAGGTTTACGCTGGCTGGCCTGAGGCTGCTGTTGCTGCGGATGTTGCTCGAGTGGCGGTGGCGACTGCTTCACCAACGGCAGCAGCTTTTCCTCCTCTGCCGCCGCCGCCACAGCAGATGGCTCCGTCTTCAGCTCCGGCTGCGTTGCTGTTGCTGCTGCTGCTGGTGGTAGTTCTGCTGGTGGTGCTGCTGGTGGTGCTGCTGGTGGTGCTGCTGGTAGTGCTGCTGGTAGTGCTGCTGCTGCTGATTCTGCTGCTGCTGCTGGTAGTTGCGCCTGATTTGTCTGTTGCGTCTGCGGCGGCAGCAGCTTTACGCCATGTGTCAGCCGGCTGTGAACTTGGATTACCGTTTGCGCGACCTCATCCTTCTCAGACTGCAACGTCGACGCGGCCGTTACCGCCGCCGTACCAGCAGGACGAGCAGCTGCTACTGCTGCTACAGCTGTTGCCGCTGGCGGCAGTGCTGGCGGCGGCGGCGGCGGGAAGGGCAACCGATAGTTTAGGACATCCCTTCCATTATCATGATGATTATCATTTTGATGATGATGGTCATTCCCTGAGCTATTCAGGTGGCATTCAGGGGAACCGCCGCAGGGCGGCCGCAGCGGCAGGCATTGCAAAGCCTGCGGCCAGGACAACCCCCCCCGGGTCGCCTCTCCCCGCCACTGACCCAGGGGCTTCACTCTGACACGGCCAGGGCTCCTGGAATCCACCTGCGCGAATCGGCGTATTACAGTTGACGTCAGTTGGTTAGTTGGTTAGATGGTTAGTTTGTTGGCAAATGCACAAGAATAGAGGCACAGCGCACGGGGCTTCAACGTATTCTGACAGTTAATTGGCGACCGTCAGTCCTACCCACTTAGTGAGAGGGGGAAGGAGGGGGGGGGAGGGTGAAAAGGCGAACCATGAGTGGGGAAAAAGGGGGGGAAAGACGAGCCCACGAACGAGTGAAGCTGCTGCCAAGTAAAGAGTGTACCAGAAGCAGGACTGACCGATGGGGAAAGGGGAGGTGCAACACGGACAACACTGACGTCATCCAGGGGTAGGCCGCACTCACCCGGCTGGCGACGAATAGAACTGACTCCCAATCTGCAGTACGTCTGGGGCCCAGCTCCTGTACGGCTTTGGAAACCAACTTGCACTGAACCATCGGCGCACCGCCGCCAGCTGTACTTGTATTACCAGCGACAGGAGCAGCGCTGCTACAGCCGCCGCCGCCGCCACTGCCGCCGCCGCCGCCACTGCCGCCACCGCCGCCGCCGCCGCCCCTCGTCAACTGTTCGTTGCCCCGGGGGTCCACGTACAACATGAAGGCTGGCGGTGCGGTGGCCTTCTTTCGCGCGAATGTCCTGTATGTATGTAAGTATGTATGTATGTACGTATGTAAGTGTGTATGTATGATGTTGTTACAGGGTGGTATAGCTTCACCAGCGGCCCCCTTTCCCGAGGCAGTTCCCTGCTCTCCCCTGCGAGAGGGGCACCCTAATCCATTCACCCCATCTGACTTCAGAATGTGTATTCGTTGGGTTCGGCAACTCACCACCAGCATCCAACCAAATCTAGCGGATCAACGGCGCCTCAACTTAGTTCCTGGTCAGCTCGCAAGTTGATATAATCACGTCCTACGCCGTCCACAAGATGGGGGGCCACCTCCCAATTCAACACCCCTCACACATCGAGGGGTCGGCAGGCGGATTTGAACCCGGATGTATGTATGTATGTATGTATGTTACGGAAGAACGCAACCTCAGGGCCATCTCGTAAGTGCCCCGGAAAGACCCCGGTACGCCCTTGAAGGGCGGTAACACCTTGCAGGGCGGCGGATCCACCCTGGTAACACACCCACGCACATACACACGCAAACACACGCAAACACACACACACAGACACACGCACATCACAATCACACGCAAACACAGGGGTCTTCTGGCTCCGTTGGAGCATCTGGGCAGCCGCCCCTCTGTGGCCAGTGTCAGGACCGGTCAGAGGGATACTTGGTCACCTTCACACATGAACACAATGCACACACACACACACACACACACGTGCGGCTAACCCGGCGGCCAACAAGAGCTCCCCGTCGACCCCCGAACTTCCCACACACTCCCACACTCTCACACACAGAAAGTTAAGTTCAGTAGCTCACGTATGCCACCCCGCCGCACCTGAAGCCGGGCAGCAGCACCAGCGCCACGAACATGAACCCTCGAGGTGCCGCGAGCCGCGGGCCCCCGGCGGGCCGAGTCGCTAGTCCGGGAGGAACGCTGTCGTCACCGGAGCACCCGCCCCCGCCGGACGCAACACCGGTAGCGGCCGCAGCACCGGTAGCGGCTGCAGCACCGGTAGCGGCTGCAGCACCGGTAGCGGCTGCAGCACCGGTAGCGGCTGCAGCACCGGTAGCGGCGGTAGCGGCTGCAGCACCGGTAGCGGCGGTAGCAGCTGCAGCACCGGTAGCGGCGGAAACACGAGCTTCCTGGGCTCCGTCGTGCTGTTGTCGTTGTTGTTGTTGTTGTCGTTCCTCCTCTTCCTCCTGCTGCTGCTGCTGCTCCTCCGCGTCTAGAGCGGTCACCGCCCTTTCCAGCTCCTCCAGGGAGGGTGCAGCTCCCCGAGCACGTCTCCCCCTGCGGACTCCCCCCCCTTGCAGCCCGGTGTGTTTCGTGCCACGGCCCAGGGCCGCGTCACCGGTCGCGGCGGCCCCCGGCATGTCCACCATGAGGCAGGCCGGAATCACCTGGCAGATAAATATAGACATACAGACATACATTCATCCAAGATAGGCGCGCACACCGGAACACCGAAAGAGAAACAGACATGCAGACAGACAAATAAACGCATGCTATGACCAGTGATAACACCACTACCACCACCAATAATAAGAATTATTACTATTATTACTATTATTACTATTATTACTATTATTACTATTACTATTATTATTATTATTATTATTATTATTATTATTATTATCATTATTATATATTATTGCAATAATACTGCTGTGGGATTTATAGAGGAAAAGCTCCACTCAGCAACAAGAGAATGGACCTGGCTCCTCCCCCCACCCCCAAAGAGGAACTCACCACCGGCCCAGAAGCGTCCTCTCTGCAATTTCCCGAGTTGTCGCAGCCCCCAGGTTCCTGCTCTTCCTCCCCCTGCTGCTGCACTTCCTGCTCTTCTTCCTCTTTTCCCCCCTCCTTTTTTTTCTCCGCCTCCAACCTCACATCCGGCCGCTCCCGAGACAGCCCTCCATGCCGGCGGTGAGGAAGCCTTGCCGCACCAGCGCCGCCCTTAACCCGCGCCAACCGCCACGCCAACCGCCACGCCGCTTCGGCAATGTCGTGCCCGAACAGATCAGTCCACGTCGTCGGAAAGACCACATCTCGTAGCAGCTTCCTGCCCTCCAGCGCCAACTCCAAGTTCAATTTACCTACCGACTTATCAACAGCGGCCCAAGGGGGGATGATAGCCGCCGCCGCAGCAGCAGGAGCAGCTGCAGGAGGAGGAGGAGCTCTACCTCCGCCTTCTTGCGGTTGTTGGTTCTGGAGCTGTTGGTTCTGGTGCTGTTGGTTCTGGTGCTGTTGGTTCTGGAGCTGTTGGTTCTGGAGCTGTTCGTCATGGTCATGATCTTGGCCGTTGGTGTTGCTGCTACTGCTGCGGCGGCGGCGCAAGATGATCTGCATCTTGGTTTTCGCGGCCCCACCCAGCTCCGCATCGTTTTGGACCGGCTCCTTCTTCTCCTCCTCCTCCGCCGCCGCCGCCGCCGCTGCCACCCATACCTTGCTTCGTTTCCGACTCTGCATGAGCGAGCGCGAGGGGTCATGAGAGAGGTAAGGTAAAAGGGGCGAGGTGCGATCACACAGACCGCATAGGTCCCCTGTTCGATTCTGAGGAAGTACGAAGTTATCAAATGCAGCGCTACCATTTAAAAAGGAGGACGGGAGGTCTTAGGACCGACCGCAACAACAACAACAACCAGAGCAGCAATGACCAGACCAAGTGGCCCCCCCAAAAAGCCCCCTCCGCCAACATCTCTTTCCCCCAACCTCACGTCCTCTACTACCTTCCTACCCGACCTCCTTACTCGAATGGCCCCCTGCCCCCAAACCCTATCTCACTCACCCTCTGCTGCTCGTGCTCGTGCTCGTGCTGCTGCGGGTGGTCGTGCTGTTGCGGCTGCCACCTTGGCGCTGTACCTCCTTCCTGTTCTGCCGCCACCGCCGCCGCCGCCAACACCTCGCCCGCCGGCTCCTTCTCTTCCTCATCCTCATCCTCCCTTCCCGGTTTATGCTCTGCACCTTTCTTGTCTGCTGCCTCCTCCAGCTCAACCTCCAGCTTGCCGCCAACCCTTTCCTTGCGCTTCCTCTTTCTAGCCTGCTCCTGCCGCTGTGGCGGCGGCGGCGGCGGCGGCGGCAGACACCCTGCTTTGGGCTCCGTCCCTTCACTCCCATTACCAGGTTTCGGAGCGGCGCGGTCGCCGGAACTTTCCCGCCCATCCACCACTACATCCCCGGAGGGTTCCACGCCATGGGGGAGGGGAAGGGGACCCTTGTCCTGCACTACGTCATCGCTGCCGTACGACATAACCGCCGCCATCTCCGCCACCGCGTCGTCGCCGTCACGCACCGTCACGTCTGCGCCGTCGCCGGTGCCGTCTGCGGCGACAGCTGCTCCATCGATCACTGCTTCCGCCGCTGCCTTTTCAGCCGTACCCGATCCCTGCTGCCGTTGCCTGGCGCTCCGCACCGCCGCCACCTCCTCATCCTGATGCCGCCGCCGCTGTACGACACATTGCACCAGGAAGCGCATCCGCCGCAGTAACACCAGCACCGCGCCCCACAAACGCCTCCGATTGCCGCGCGTCCACCTCCTCGCCTCCGCCACCCCGCCCGCCGTACCGCCGCCACTGCCACACCGCTGGTCCCCCATCGGAAAGGCCCCAGCCGCTAGAAGTCCTTCAAGCACCAAAAACGCCGCCGGCAGCGCCACTCCGCAACTACCCAGCGGCGGCGCCGCCAGCGTGCCGGCACGAATTGTACGGCAGTAGCAGCAACCCAGCAGTTGCGTTAGCCGATGGGCCGCGCCGCGGGCTGCCCACACGTCACCCTCCGCCGCCGCCGTCCCGCCAAAGAGCTGGCCCGCCAGCTCCAGGACCTCCCGTACTGCCTCACGTGCCTCATCATCGCCGGAGGCGAAATGTACGGCAGCGCGCGGCGCCAGCCACTCGATGGCGGCGTTCTGTGCCTGCTGCAGCACGGCGGCTACATGTACTTGCTTCTGCTTCTCAGTGTCCCGCCTTGGGGGCCACTGCTGTTCTGCCGCTGCTGAGTCACGATGCTGGCGCAGCGGGTCTTGTCGTACAGTTGCCGTTGCTGCCGCCGCAGCCCCAGAAGCTAACGGAGCACCGCCATGGCCCGGCGGGTCAGTTGCTGCAGCTGGGCCCAGAGGTGCCGCCGCCCCCGCCGCTGCCGCTGGCGGCGGCGGTGACGCCAGCTCTGCCGCCGCCACCGTCGGTTTGCCGGCCGCTGCCTGTTGGAACTCCGCCTCCGCCAGTGCCGTCAGCTCCTCTAATCGCGCCAGTCGCCGAGTCCATCGACCAGCTTCACCTTCTCCGCCGCCGCCACCGCTTCCGCTGGCGTCATCCGCCGCTCCCGCTACGTCATCACGTACGGCACTCTGCGCCAGGAGCTCAATCAAGGAGGCTACTTCTACGCCGCCCAAGCATTCCACGCCGTCCAGCTCCCCTCCATTAACATCACCATCAGCGACACCGTAACCCATCATCGGGATATGAATTGCCGTACCCTGCCGTACCGGCGGATCTGGGTGGCCGGCGCCGATGAAGCAGCGGGGGCGATGTTGATCGGCAGTACATTTGGACGCCGCGGCGGCGGCGGCAGCGGCGAGTTCGCCGGCGTCTCCCGCTGACGGACCCCGCTGACGCTCCGACGGCGCCTCCGCCGTCACCCCGGGAACCAGTGCCGTACATGCTGATGTCATCAATCGCTGTAACGAGGTAAAAAACCCCAGCCGAGTACCACCAAACGCCAAGAAATTCTCCCCACCGCAGCCGCCGCCGCCACGGCCTGCCGTTGTTGAACTCCCGTCGCCGGGGTCGTACAGCTTGTACGGCAGGGTTGCGGCGTCCAGATAGCCCGCCTGTGCCAGGCAGGATAGGGCCCCTAGGGCGGCGGCACCGCGGACAACGATTCGATCAGTATTGCCGTACCTGGCCCGCCGTCGCCAGCTGTACGGCGCCCCAACCCCCGTCCCCAATGGAGCGGACAGCAGCGCCGCCGCCTCCATCCTCGCCGCCAGCCGGCCAGCCGCATCCATGGCCGGCCGTACGGCAGCCGCTGCGCCCAAAAGCCGCCGCGACAGCTCCACCACCCGAGCCACCTCCCTCTGCATCCAACTCCTCAACTTCTCGTCTTCTTCTACTCCATCCACAGATCGAGCTGCTATCTTCACCTCCGCCTCCGTCACCGTCTGGCCCTGGCCCGGCGCCGGTGGCGGCCGCTGCCTGGCCGCAAGTCGGACGGCCTCCACTGACTGCAGCGCCGTCAGCCGTACACAATCCAGTACGGCTGCCACAGGATGGCTGCTGGCCAGCTCTCCCCGCGCCGCAGTGGCGGCCAGGGATGCGTACGTCCACGATACGCCCCGACGCTGAAGCGCGCCGTCGGGCGGCGGCGGCGGCCCCGCCGCCGCCCCCAGTGGAACCCTCGCGGACGGCCACCAGCCGCCGCCAGCAGCGGCGGTACTACTACTGTTTGACGACGCAATCACAGCAGATCTGTATTTGGAACCGGATTTGGACTCAGTGGTGGCGGCGGCGCGATGTGGTGGTGCCGGCGGCGGCAGCGGCGGCGGCGTCATGTACCAGTTCACACAGCTGGAGAAGAGGTAGGTGAAGCGCCTGAGCAGCCAGCTGCGTAATGCGAGACTTGGAACCGCGTTGACGGAGAAGGGCAGGTCGGGCGGCGGCGGCGGCGGCGGCGGCGGGCGAGACGGCTTCTGCTGTCTCCCGTGCCGGCTGGACGATCTGGGTCTGGATTTAGATCTAGATCTGGATCTAGATTTGGATCTGGATCCGGGTCTAGGCTTGGAATCTAATCTAGACCGACCGCTGTGCTCCTGGGCGCCTTTGTCCCCTTTCCGTAGTTTCCGGTCCTCGTCCCAGGAGGATGTGCCGTACGAGGCCGTACTACAGGAGCCGCTGCTGAGATTATCTGACGTACTTTCACCTTCTCTTCTGCTGCCATATCCTCCGTCATTTATGCTGTCACTCTCGTCCGCATGTTGCTGTTGCTTGCGCGGCCTCGTGGCCTCCAATCGAAAATCACCGTTCTTTTGGCAATGCTTGCCGAGTTGGTGGCGGTTATAGCGGTTATGGCGCTTGTCGCTGTTGTGGCTGTTGTCGTGGAGCCTCCTCCAGGCGTTCGAATCAGTGCTAAGGCAGTCCCGCGCATGTGCAAAACTGGCTGTAGCAATGGCTTCCTGCTGCAGCTGCTGCTGCCACTGCTGCTGCTCCTGTACTAACCAGGTGCGAGTAAGAACGTCGAGGTCTGATCTGGAGTCCAAAGGGGGCGCAGAAAACCCATCCGGTCCTGCCGACAGAAGACATGTCGGCAGGAGAGGTTGCTGCAGGTGCGGGGGCCTGTGGCGCTGTAGATGATGTAGCGGTGGCAGCGGCAAGGGCTGATCTGGGTGTTGAGGCGGTGAAGGCGGGTCGTCGCTCTGAGGGGAAAGGGGAAATTTCAAAAGTCGAAGGGAAGGAGTTTAGGAGGAAGGGTTTGGGTTGTGAGCGAAGATGTGAAAGGTTGTCGTTGCATGTATTCCAGTTTTCGTAGGCCGGAGCGGAACGCCTCGTTTGGCACTGGTGACCGCCTTTGGCATATCATCGGCCGGAGGGGGGGAAAGCTGGCACGTGGACCGGCTGCAGCTTTAGCGATGGATATAGTTTTAAGACTTCGCATCTAAGTGCCCGCAGTTGGTTGCGTTTGCATGAACGGCTGCTGCAACCTTATGGGGCAACGCAACGAGGTTCTGACCTGTATTTCGGCATGGCCAGACAGCTTCGCTGCCTCCGTTCCGATGCTACTGGAGTCCAAGCCATACTCAACTATTTCCAGATCGTCCCCACGAACAGGATGCTGCTGATGCTGTTGAGCTGCGAACTCGAAGCGCTGCTCCTCCATCGGCCGCAAACCGGCCCCCCTACATAAAAACTAAACGGGCTCTAGTGTGCGTGCAACCTTGTAAAATATTAGACGCTTAAGATTAAGTTAAGAAGGGATCCTTTGTTAGTTTACAGCTGCGTCGGTATCACTGCCCTTGTCATACATTCAAATAAAATTCATCTATATTAGCATACCACGCAAAATATGTTGCCATCTTACTTTACTAGTTTTCTTACAATAACCCTGGAGGCCCGTTTCCGGGGGGGAAATGGGTGTTGGCTCACTTAGCCTCCGGAAGACATCCTGTAGGATACCAGCGTTTGCAACATCTTTATGTATAACCACACCCAATACACATGGTATTTATAATCATACCCAATACCCATGAAAAGCTCTCTGCACGAGTTTACTTGCCTCCGGAGCTTGTCGGAACAACCAACTCTTAACTTACAAACGAAATGTGTTTTCCATCACCTGTTGACTTGTACTATCACCAGTCCAGAAGGAAATATAGAAAATAATCGTAATTATAATTATCACATATGGTTGCTGCACAGACAGCGCACAAGGAAGACCGGCGAAGCCTCGGATGCTTCCGCATTTTATGCATGAAGCGGCCATAGCCTTGCTGAGTATCGTCTGCACACGACGGACATCAGCCAAACATGTTCCTCTTCACTGCTACCAGCGGCGCACGAAACGGCGCACGGAGACACTCAGAGGCAGAGGTGGTGTTGCGGTTCGCTCAGGCGAACCTGCGGCTTGCAACTGCAACAAACAGTCCCACGTATATGGCTTTGCGCCATCTGCTTGCAGGGTAGCGGCTGTTGTAAATTGGACGTTATTCCGGTCAGACCTCTCTACTGTTGCCTTGAGGACTATTTGTCGTACTTATGGAACTGTTTTTTGGTTCCTTTAAGTGGCGGCGGGAAGCCACATTCTTTGGTTCCTTGTAACAGGAAGTGCAGCTTAAGCAGCCGTATAGCGTAAGGCACAGAGCAGCTCGCAAGTTTATAACAGCTGCGGCAGCTGGTACGTCAGCTTACGTTGCTCACTTTGCGAGTCGTTATCCTTATTGCCCAGTCCTGCCGTGTTGCGTTAAAGAAGCTAAGCGGCCAGCCGCCGGCTCGGCTTGGTAGCGTGCAACCCAGCTGCGAAACCCCCTCTCAACACCAACCAAATTGTGAAATTTCCACTGGTGGCCGATAGTGACGACAGTTACCTGTATCACCCCGCTTGAAGGGGCTCCCCACAAGGACCGAGAGGGCCCCGGCAAGTGTGCCGAAGAGCCACACGGGGTAAAACCCCCACGGCCAGCAGCGACAAAACCAGACCAGGGACCGCCGCAGCGACGGCATCGCCTGCAAAGTAATGGTGGTGCAGTCTTCCCTCGCCGTTCTGGTCCTGGTACTTGAGATGCCGCGGATGGAATACGGAATACGCAACCGTGATGAGATGAGCGCACATGTGATCTTGGTGCAGAACACCGCAATGCGCCTGAGGCCTTGCAACTTCGCCATGCGATGCATTCATCCCGTAGTACTGCAGACCGTTTTACCAAGGTTTGCAGGGACCCTTAGCCGAGAGGACACTCATGCATATGGAGCAGCAAAGCTAATGACAACATGGCTCCGCCTGGCAGCACGAGCTCGAGATTCAGTGCAGGTTGGCGGCGACGAAGGCCGCCGTTAGTACAACAAGTTCTAAGTTCCAAATTCCAAGTTCTGCACAAGTGCGGGGGTGTCCGTAAAGCCGGGGGGGCCATGGACGGTAAATCGTTTCTAGTGATGTGGGTTTAGTATACGTGGGTTTCACCATTTCGCTGTGTAGGGCACCAGTTTCGGACGTGCAAATCGCAATAATGCAATTGCAGACTCACGGTGGTGCTTTAAACGCACCATGTGGCGAAGCTGTTCGCAGATGACCTGAATCTGCTTGCTCACAATCACCGGCGCCTAGTGTGCCCCCTTCAGGCCCTTCACCACGGAGCGGTGCAGCGCAGCATTTAACATGACCGCTCATATCCGTAAATGTGAGGCTGTCTACTTTTACCCCAATTGAACTCGACGTGCGTTAACCGTGAGCCTTATGAAGGTTGGTACGCAGCGAGCAGTGGGAAACACTGTGCAGTTTGAAGACATGCCGTGGGTTGGCAGGGCTAGGTATTTAGGGCTTCATTACAGGCTGGATGCCTCGTTCGAATCCTGCACGCCTAGCGCGCCTAGGGTTGTAGGCCGCGGCAGGGTCGTGGTGGCGGTGGTGATGACGGCGGCCGCCGGAGCGTGTACGATTTCTGGGTGGGTTTCTGGGTGGGCATCACCCGCTAGCGTTGTTGCAGGTGGTGAAGATGTTGGGCGGTGAGGTGGGACGGGTTCTTGTGCGGTGCAGGCGAAGACGGAGGCGTCTGGAAGCGGAGCTGCTGCTGCTGCTGCTGCTGCTCCTCCTCCTACTGCTCCTCCTCCTCCTGCTCCTCCTCCTCCTGCTCCTCCTCCTCCTGCTCCTCCTCCTCCTGCTCCTCCTCCTCCTGCTCCTCCTCCTCCTGCTCCTCCTCCTACTGCTCCTCCTCCTACTGCTCCTCCTCCTACTGCTCCTCCTCCTACTGCTCCTCCTCCTACTGCTCCTCCTCCTACTGCTCCTCCTCCTACTGCTCCTCCTCCTACTGCTCCTCCTCCTACTGCTCCTCCTCCTACTGCTCCTCCTCCTACTGCTCCTCCTCCTACTGCTCCTACTACTACTGCTCCTACTACTACTGCTCCTACTACTATTGCTCCTACTACTATTGCTCCTACTACTATTGCTCCTACTACTACTGCTCCTACTACTACTGCTCCTACTACTACTGCTCCTACTACTACGGCTCCTACTACTACGGCTCCTACTACTACGGCTCCTACTACTACTGCTCCTACTACTACTGCTCCTACTACTACTGCTCCTACTACTACTGCTCCTACTACTACTGCTCCTACTACTACTGCTCCTACTACTACGGCTCCTACTACTGCTGCTCCTACTACTACTGCTCCTACTACTACTGCTCCTACTACTACTGCTCCTACTACTACTGCTCCTACTACTACTGCTCCTACTACTACTGCTCCTACTACTACTGCTCCTACTACTACTGCTACTACTACTACTGCTACTACTACTGCTGCTGCTGCTGCTGCTGGTGGGCGATGCCCCGCAGCGTTGCGTCGTCAGTGGCGGCACCTGTGTGGTGGGGGAGTTGGGGGTATCTGGTGGCGCGATGGTTCATATCTCCACCGCCGCCTCCTCAACCGCTTGGGGCCCTCCTCCTCCGCCTCCTCCTCCTCATCATCATCATCCTAGACCGGTAGCAGTGATGGCGGCAGCGGCGGCGACGGCAACGGCGCTGCAACGTCACCACCAACCTCTCCGGACAGTGGTGGGATTCGAACTCGGGAGGCAGCTACTACGTCAACCTTACACAACAGCGGCTTCAGAACGCAGTGCATTGGCGGCAGATGCGGCAGCAGCTACGGTGACGCCAGCGATGGCATCCACAGCGGCCGCTGGGGTTGCTGCCGCCGCAGCTGCTCCATGTAAGGCAGGCGGCCTGACGGGTCGGCCAGGAGAACGACTTCGCGGAGGCGACGGAGCTGCAGCTCTGAGGGGCCCGTCGGGTCAGATGCCGTGCCTTATGATTGCCCGTCAATTCTCCAGTGTGAACGGAGGAATAGGTTTTTAGTCCGGCCCCCCCCAGATCCCCTCCGATGAGTTACAGTTTAGTTTGTACAAACGCCAGGTTTGGGGAATGTCGCAACACGCACACACCACCATCTCTCCAGACAGGTGTCTCTTTTACGCCAGTAAGCGGCGCGCACTTAGACACTTTGGCAGGAAGCCCGATTGCACGGGCGACTGCTGTTTCCAAGGGCTTGCCGAGCCCAAGCAAACACAGACCAGCTCAAGCACTGATCGAATAGTTCGTTCGCTCGCCGTCCTACGTTTTGCATAACGTTGGAAAATTAACACTATATGACTCTCCAGATTGCAAATGTAATGATGCATAGCATATGACGAACGTTGACAGTTGGCCCGCTCGCGGTCATCGTCGTCTTTTGGCTGCAGCATTGCGTCCACACTGCCTACGACCCCTACACCGTCTTCATCACCGTCGCTAATGGCTTCAGCGAAGTTAGATTTCTGCCCTGGTGGCCTGCCACGCTTTGGGAGCTTCGGATTCGAATATTTTGCAGGGTTTGGTCCGGTCAGAAACTGTCCTATTCCTCCTTGACTCGCGGGTGTGACCTTCCTATCAGTATCCATGGCATATATGTGCTATGATATGGTGAACATGTATGTCTCCTGTACAAATCTAGCGGCTTTGGCATGGACAGCCCATTTTTGGCTGGAGGAATGAACTTGTACGGTCGGTGTAGATTAATCTATTCCTAAATTCCGGGACCACGGACAATTCTTTATTCCAAACTCGAAATATATTCCGCAAAATAAATTGCAGAATGCCCCTCACGTCACCCGCCTTGGGTTTTTAGCTTTGCTCCATTTTGGGGTTTTTGTTGTGAGGCTGTATTCCGAGTGGTGCCTTCCCAAGGACGATGTTGACCAGAGGTCGAATCCCTTTTTATATTTCGAACTCCCCTGCCTTACCCGATTAGGCTTCGCCCCTTCAACATGTGATTACCGACATTACAGTGCAATGCTAGGCAGGAGAAGAAAAAGAAGAAGACAGAATTCTCAATTTGGATTTTTCCAGTGATAAATATAAATAAAATATTTTACGCTTAAAGCAAGGGACCCGGCCTGGTAGGAGGTGGAGTTGGTCAGCTGTTGGTGTCAGCTGTTCACATCTTTCGCTAAGTTCCGATCGCTGTCATGCTTATGCGCTCCAGCCTCTACCATGTTATGCATATCAATCAGGTCAGCCTGTGTCGCAATCAAGAGTCCACACAGCTCCGTAGATAGAGTGCACCCTTCCTTAACTCCTTGCTTAGACTCAAACTCTCCCCCCACCTTCTCATTCACGTTTATCACCACGGACACCTTCTCGTACACATTTCTCATGCTAGGGCATCTAGCATGGGACTGCTGACATCCCTCTCCACTGCAACCGAAGCCACATATGCTCACGAGGCACCCGTACATCCCCCCGAGGTACGAGGCACGAGGCACGATTCCACCCTGTGGCGTACATTCGGCCATGGCATACCGATGTCACGCCAAAACATCTGGAGCGCGCAAATTATGTGCCACCACCGGCCGGTAACCGGGCTACTCTACCAATGGGTTACCGGCCGAGGACAAAACTCGGTGGTTTGTGTTTGGAAATGACCGACACTCATAAACCAGAGGATGGTAACAGCAATAATAGGACTCGGCGGGGGTCCGGCGCTTTCCTGGTCTTAACAGTTTGTACTGGAATGTGATGAACCGACCCGAAATGTTACCGGTTGGTAAGGTAAGGTAACCGGTCAGTAAGGTTACCGGTCGGTTAGGTAAGGCCGAAAGCTGGATATTACATCCAAAACTGTTCACACTACGCCCCTCCGCAACGAACTACCGGGCAAAACCCAAGCCACGCAAAGTTGTGTCAGGCCTTAAGCCCTGCTCAGCCAGAAAGCACCAGGGAGTTGTCTCAGCCCGAGGGGGGGCCCTTCTAACTATGTATGTGTGTATCTATGTATCTATGTATGTGTGTATCTATGTATCTATGTATGTATCGATGTGTTTATATGTCCCCATGTGCATTGGTGTGATGGCTGATGGGAGAAGGGCAGGAGATTGATTTGGCGGACAGATGCCGTACTTTCGTGACTGTAAATTATAAATCCGCAGTACTGCAGAGCTCTTTCATCTACGCTTCGCGTAAAATAACGGCTGAAAGTAAGACAGGTATGTCTGCGCATGTGGCAAACAAGGTATTGTGAACCAGAAGAGGCACATTATCTGCTGGCAACCGAAATGTATTTTTCCAGTCACTAAATTCAACCGATGCCCTGACCAACCCGGAATGGGAGGGTTGGGGAATCTCAATGTTACGACTGTTTTCCTTCTTGGAGTGCAACATTTGGGGCGGAATACCGCAAGAAGTCGTGGGGGTAAAGGAGCGTGTTGACTGGTTGTTGAGTAGACCTCTACCAGAAGGAGCGATAATAACGGCACTAAGAGAGCGTTTGATGAGCGGCTGGGACCATACGCGTCTGACTGTCTTGCCAGAGGAGTACCCATCAGATGGGAAGCAACCGGGAGTGCAAATGGCGAAGTATAAGCACTGGATGGGGCTGCCCTTTTCGGGAGCTGAAGCCGTCATGTGGCCAACACATGCTAATGTTTTCATTCCTCGTTTAGCACATCGTAAGCTAATGCAGTTTCGTTTATGTTGCTGGGCTTTGGAGGCGAACAGAGCACGAGGGGGCAAGTACCATGTTCCCAGGGGGCAGCGGTTTTGCCACTGTTGTGGTCCTAATAACCGAATTGAGGATGAAAAACACGTGTTATTGGAATGCCCAGCCTATAATGATATTCGTGCTGAAGAGGGATTCGATCATCAACAGAGTATGTTGGAGGCCATGCAATGGGAACCCGCACGCCTGGCGCGGATATTGGAACGTATGTGGGCTCACCGAAACTCAATTACCCCCTTTGGACGCTAGTCTGGGCTGATGTGCGGTGTTTTTTTCCTTTTCTCCGTGGCTTTTAGGCGTTGTAGTATTGCCCTTGGGCCTTCGGCTCGTATGGGTAGTCTTACAGGTATGGGGTCACGCACCCCCCAACCATGTAACACACACACACACACACACACACACACACTAAATTCAATGCAGTCACTCACGCAACAAGCTGCGCCGGCAGGGTCTGCTGCTACCTAGCGTCGGCATGAAGTGTTTCAATGCGCAAGTGCGTTCTGTCTTATCGTACGGCTCGCAGGTGTGGGGGCCTGACCAGGTTCTCGCGATGTTGGAAAAGGCTAACGAGGCACCGCGGTCATGCTATTTCGATGTGGCTATACGAATCCGAATGGTCAAGCTCCAAACCTTTTTCATGAACCAATTGGTAGGGACTTCTGTACCAGCCCTCCAGCTTTTGTTTATGGAGCTAGGGCAGATGCCGCTACAGCTGCACTGGGCTGAATCCGTATTTCGCTTCTGGAATCGCTTGGTGGAGGACACTAGTAGCGTATACCACAGCGCCTTTCGTCAGGAAATTCGTTTGGCGTTAGTAACGAATTTGCAGTTTGATGGTTGGGGATCCAAAGTCATTCGTATCCTTAACCACTTAGAGCATGACTGGGGTGAGGAGGCAGTCGGGGGAGGCATTGATATGAGGATTAGACGTTACTCGGCTTGCAAGCTTGATGTCGAAGCGCTGATGGACACCCTTAGGACACGTGTCAACGACGACTGGGCGAATGATAGGCTGGCTGTGGACCCTAGAGTTTTCGTTACGGACGGTAGGAAGCCCGGCGTGAAGATGGGCCGTCATAAGCACTGGATGGGGCCACCGAAGCCGTACGCGGGTTATATCCCCCCGGCGCATCATCGTGCCCTACTCCGTTTTCGTTTGTATGTCTCCGACTTGGCGGTTAACAGTGAGAGCAACAGGGCTAGGGAGCACCGCGTGTGCGCTGTGTGTCGTAGCAATGGAGTTATTGAGGATGAGAAACACTTCTTGGTAGAATGTCCGGCGATTATGTCTGCGCGTCAAAAGCTCTGGGACCTCGGTGTGCCCGTCAATGCGAACATCCGCGATATCATGCAAGTGGATGATCAGCGTGGTCTTGCAAAGGCAATTTTTGAGATGTTTCGCTCCCGGCATGAGCACCTAACTACCTAACTTTCTCGGCGGTAACAGGCAATTGTGTCTCAGAGTCAAATTGACGCTGTTCTTTCTCATAAACACCCGTTTTCTTCTTGCGTAAAACTTTCTTTTTCTGTTGTTTGTTTTGTTTGTTTCGTTTACTTTTTCTCTTTTTTCTTTTCCCTATCGACGGCGCTGTCAAAGCGGTTCATGAGCCTTCGGGTTCGTTTGGCCGTACGAGCTCGCTGAAGCTTGTAACATCCATCCATCCATCCAATGCAGTCACTACAATTGCAGCACGACTGCAGCACATATATCAGTTTGTGACAGAGATAAGCAATACAATATGCATAACGCTGGAAAAGGTATTTTGTACATTAAACTATCAATATTCCGTTAATTTCGTTGCAGCTCTTGCTGAGGTCTTTCATCGTTGCCGACTCTCGTCCTTGACCAGAAAGCTGTGCCATGGAATGTCTTCAAGATCGCTTAATAGCAATCTTGACGCCGCTAGGCTTCGACCTTATCGCGCCATTCGCTGCGCAGGCCTACAATGATTGCCGCTTGCCTGGAATACCGCAGCTGCCGACTTTCGAAAGAGATGACACATTGGCATTTGTGATTGGAAATACAAAGGCGCTTTGGCCTTGCTTTCTGCGTCATCTCGCACGGCATCCCGAGGACTTGGCCCTGGAGGCGCCGCTGGACAGCTACACGCTATCGAGCATTAGTGCCGCGATCACGGACGTGTGTAATAAAGGAGGTTTGGCGACACATATCCGATGGGGATTCAACACGACGTCCCAGGATGGCTTCGTGGACCTGCTACGTGCAGCACGCGTTTCGGGCTTGGCTTTCCTGGACGAGGAGATTCACCTATGCACGCATCCGGTGTATGGGCCTTGGATTGCGCTCCGGGCCGTGGTGGTTGTAGACGCAAGCACCACCAATATAGCCAGATTAGGAAAACCTCTACAGCATAACCCGTTCCCGGAGCTTCGGCCACAGATTCTCACCAAGCTTATCGAGATGCAGGTCGCAGGTGCTATGGCTGATTGGAAGGCACATTGGGCGGATTGGGCAGACCTACGGCGGCTTGCCGGAAGCTCTGTCCAGGAACATGCTTATTGTGAGCGCCAAATCGAGTATCATTACACACAGTCTCGCGCTGTGCTTGGATCCGCGATGATTGAATACCTACCTGGTTAGGGCGGTTGGCGCCGGAGGGCCAGAAACACATATATGGCGTGGAGTTCGACGGACTATGACAACCCACTTATGCTATGGAAGGTTTTGTACCTGATGGTATGCTCTGCTCGAAGTTTACGGCGGTTCTTATTTTTGCAGTCTTTGCAGGACATTGTGTTTTTGTCCCGTTTCCCTATCCGTGTCGAAGCTCGCCCATCATCGCAATTTTCTATGGTTACTTATAGTTATTTTAGGCTAAGGTGAGAGTCATGTCTGCATATGGCAAGAGGGGGCTTCGAAGGCCGATGCGCCCAGCATAGCTTGGTGGTCCAGGCACCAGCTAAGGAACTTGGAACGGCCAAACATTATTTGTTTTTGTGAAAGGCTGACCATCTAAAAGTAAAATGTCGTCGACTGGTCCAGTTGTGTCTGTTACCGACGGCAAGTCCTCGCCAACAGCACAGATGCAGCAGGCAGCAATGCAGGGGAATACTGCCCTTTTATCTCAGCTGATATCACAGCATCCTAATCACGTTGACGGTGCCTCGGACTCCGGAGGGCAGGCACCATTGCTCGTCGCAGCGCTGCTGGGCCAGCAAAACGTTGTGGAAATGCTGCTCAGCGCTGGAGGCAATCCAAATCGGCGCGGAAAGCGCCAGGAAACCGCGCTCATGCTTGCTGCGCAGCGCGGGCATGTCGATGTATTGCGCGTACTGCTTGGCCGTGGCGCTCAGGCCACCGCGGTTGACCAGCGCGGCTGGACAGCCCTCCACTTTGGCGCCTTTGCTGGCCATGCGGCCTCCGTCCGCGCGATCTTGACCGCCACAGCCCCTTCCGCCCGGTCCTCCCTCCTGGAATTACGCACCGGCAAGGGGGAGACTGCTCTGGCGCTGGCGGCCTTTGGTCGCAAGGAGGAGTGCTGCCGCGCACTTATGGATTATGGCGCCAAGCCCTCTCTCATCAACGACCCAGTCGACAAGGAGTATGTGCAGAAGCTGCAGGCTTCAACCGATGCCAACGGAGGCGGCACCCCCAGCCCCGGCCCCAGTCCCGCCCCCACCTCCACCTCCCCTAAAGGCCTAAGCACGATCGCTCCGAAGGCGAGCCGCGGCGGCGCTCGCGGCAACGGCGGCGGCGCCGCCGCCGCCACTGCCACTGCCGCTGCCGTACGGCGCGGCGGCGCGCGTTCACCGCTGCTGATGGACCTCAACAACGGCCATTTTCTGGAGTCACCGGCGGCCAGCCCCTCAGCACGCCCAGCCATGCAGTTCTCCGGCACGCCGTCGGAGTTTGAAAGGTACGGCACAGGGGGGGTGGAGCTTCATCGGAGAGGAGGTCTGGTAGACCTTGCCTTGCCACGCAACAACACCACGATGCACAAACAGACCGGCAAGAAAAGGCTCTGGCACAGATGCAACGACGTACGGAATAAATACATACTAACATACATCATAACACAGATCAAATAAAATAAAAAATTGAAATAGAACAATTTGAAAAATATTTGGCGGACCTAAATAGTCCTCTTGGGGGGTCGGGCGGGCCCCCTGCCCAACCCCTTCCGCTCCAGCACGCCGTACATATGCCCCTATCATTCCGTACATTGTACGGCAACCCCAGCAAAAAACACATTCCCGGCATCTCCCCCGGTGCATTCCGTAGCGCGAGGCAGCGAGGCAGCACCAGTTCTGTGTTGTCACGCTGTTTTCACGTCTTGGCTTTACCTCTGGCATCATCCAGCTCGCTGTGCTTCTCCCCTCTGGATTCGCAAACCCTACCGAACGCGACGGAGAAAGATAAGGATAAACCCGGGGAAGATTTGAAAAAAAAGCGACAGAAGCAGAACCGAAGATATTTTTCTCTTGCGGAAATACCCCGTAAGCGGCTGCCGAGTCTCCATCTTGCTCCCCCGCTGTGGTTTTGGGTCTTGGGTTTTTATTGCTTGTTCTGGGTTTTCGGGTTTTTTAGATTTTTGCAAAGTATCTATTTAAGAGACTCAGCAGCAGCTCATGGAATGCGCTTTGGGGTTTTTCTTATCTTGGCTAGAGTGTCCGTCATTTTGCCTGCATAGCCTTAAGTTGCGGCGGGGCCGGGTGGGGGGGCCGGGTGGTGAGGGGGGGGGGTGGCGAATGGAAGTCCTAGCTGACTGGGCACTGGCGTCTTGGAGTACTGAAGAGATACATGACTGATGGACCTCTGGGGCTGTGGGAAGGTGGAGGGAGGGAGATAGGGAAAGGGGGGGAAGGGAGGGAGGGAAAGGGGGGAAGGGAGGGAGGGAAAAGGGGGAAGGGAGGGAGGGAGGGAAAGGGGGGGAAGGGAGGGAAGTGAGATATACATACGCATATATCACATGGGGGCAATAGCAGGGCGCGGATAAGTAATGGGGCGATGTAAAGCGATGAGGGCGGGTGATAGGTAAAAAGGTTAAGACAGCAAAACCCTAAGAGGGCATGTATATCGGGTTCCTGACAGCAGCATTGCACACCTACCCCCCATGATGCATGACACCCTTCTCCCCACCCTCCCCCCACCCTCCCCCCACCCTCCCCTCACTCTCTCCACTCCCGCCGCCGTATTCATTTGGCCCGATTTGCTGCACCCTTCGACCCTGACTCCACCTTATTCCTTCCACTGCCGCTACCTTGCTGTGCTCTACCTTAACACGGACGTGGCTACGTCAAACTACCGGATACATGTCTACAACTGCCTCCACCATTACCATTGGGCCGACCCACATCACCCGCGAATCGTTACCGCATCTGCCGTACTTCCTCTACTGTTCCGTACATGCCCTATCGTACATCTGCTCTAACGTGCACTACCTTACCTACCACTTCCTAACTTCCACGTTCCTCCTTCCACCCTCGATTTTGCTCCCTCCTCCTTCTTCTCCTCCTTCGCCTCCTCCTCCATCCCCTTCCCCTCCTCCTCTCCTGCCTCCTCTTCCTCCTTGCCTTTTCTCTTCTCCCCCCGTCGCACCCTCCCCCTCGCCTCCTCTGCCCCCAGTGTTTCTGTATGTCTACACTCAGCTCCAACACCATGCCCAAGCCGCCCTCTCACCCCGCCGGCTCTTCCCGCCCCCCCCACCCATACCCACCACGCACTACCACACACCTCATCGGGCACAGCACAGCCCGCTTCCTCCAGCCAACACCACATCGTGCTGCTTGCTCTTAGACCTTGGCTTCGAGGCCTTTACCCGGCGTGTGATCACCGCATTCCCAAACCCCTGCACCACCAAAAAACCCACATCGCCCCACTCATCACCACAACCAACAACACCAAAAGCGCCGCCACGGGGACTGCGGCTTATGGCGTGAAAACCACAGGACCAACCGCATCACCATCACCATCACCATTTCCTTTTTCAGCCGCTGTCACCCTCACCCGCCCGTTCTCGGCATTCCCGCAGCCGTGTTACGTCATCACCCCGCAGCAAACCCAAATCACAAAACACGTGCCATGGTTCCCGCCACCTCGGTCGTCTTCCCTAGCGGCGGCATCCCTGCTTTACGCACCGCCACGATCCAGCACATCGCCGCCGACGACGACGACGCGATCATGCCGTACAACAAGATCCAGTTCAGCACCGCCGCGACGGTGCCGTACAGGATCCTGTTCGCCGCCACCGACACAATCATGCCGCACACCGCTATGGTCAACATTATCAACGCCACTCTCGTCCCTATTATCACCGCCACAATCACAACAACCGTCACAACCGTCACAACCGTCACAACCACCTTCCCTCAGGCTTATGAGTCCGCAGCAGTCGGACATTGCCGGAGGAAGCCCCAAGAACACTCAGCAACGTCGGTTGGGGTCACCGGGACGGTTGGCCAACGGTTCCCGTAACGCCAACGCAACCACTAACGTCCAGTACGACTCGGATGGCTCGCGCAGTCCTAAGCAGCCCGATTGGAGCCTTCACGAGTTGGACTACCGCGGCACGCCGCTGCTGCACCACCGACCCACGGGTCTGCTGTTCACGTCTGTGCCTGAGGACAGGTAATAGAGGGGCGGTAACGCAAAGAGAGTTGTAGTGGGCGGCGATAGCGGGGCAGTGGGAGAGTGGGAGGACGGCATGATGGGTAGGGGACGACAAGCTGGGTTTGACGGATCAGTTGATGAGAGCTGTAAGGGGGCTCATGGCGCGCATGCAGGCGTAGTGGTGTTGATGGTGCAACGGAACCGAACTGAGAGGGCGGGAGGGAGGAAGAGAAAGAGGGAGGGAGAAGGGGGAAAGGGAGAGAGAGGGAGGGAAAGAGAGAGGGAGAAAGGGGGAGGGAGGGAGAGAGGGAGCCGGAGGGAGGGAGAGGGAGAAGGGGGAAAAGGAGGGGGAGAGGGAGAAGGGGGAAAAGGAGGGGGAGAGGGACAAAGGGAGAGGGAGAGGGAGAAGGGGGGAGGGAGGGAGAGAGGGAGCCGGAGGGAGGGAGAGGGAGAAGGGGGAAAAGGAGGGGGAGAGGGACAAAGGGGGAGGGAGAGGGAGAGGGAGAAGGGGGGAGGGAGGGAGAGAGGGAGAAGGGGGGAGGGAGGGAGAGAGGGAGAAGGGGGGAGCCCAAGTTGGCGGTGTGGGTAACGCGGGGGCAGTTCCCTGAAATGGACCAGGAAGGGCGCATGGTAAGGGAGCGACCCACCTCCATGTTTCAGCGTTTGTTGCATTTTGTTGCGTTTGTTGTGTTTTATTGCGGTTCATAAAGGGATGGAAATTATTCTCGCCTGCTTTATGGCGCCGCGCCTGTCTCTTTTTTGCTTGTTTTCCTACCTACCTACCTACCTACCTACCTACCTACCTACCTACCTACCTACCTACCTACCTACCTACCTACCTACCTGCCTACCTACCTACCTGCCTACCTGCTGTGTATTTTCCCCCTTCCAGCTTCCCCGCCCTGGTCGGCATATTCATTGACGGGCAGCCCAGGTGGCTGGGTGAGGCCGACCTGCCTCTCCTGGAGTCCATGCCGCAGGTGCGTGTGTGTACCTACCTCCCCCTACCCCCGTATTCCCCCTCCATCCCTTGCTGGCGTTACGGGGAGCAGTTGCGTCATTTCTTTATCGACCCCTCATCTCTTTACCGATTCACAACTCACTGGGTGCTTTGAAAATTGTTGGCAGCAGTGGTCCCTATTTGCCTTTTGCACCATCATCAACATATGATCCCCCCCTCCTCTCCCCACTCCTCTCCCCACTCCTCCTCGAAGGTGTGCGACGTCTTGGCTGGCACGGTACCTGTGGCTAGGCTGCTGGTACGGCAGCTCCGCGTGGTTCCGGAGCCGGCCCTGAGACTGTGTGTCCTGCTGGGCCTCCATGAGGTATGTATGTATGTATGCATGTATGTATGTATGTATGTATGTATGTATGTATGTATGTATGTATGTATGTATGTATGTATGTATGTATGTATGTATGTATGTATGTATGTATGTATGTATGTATGTATGTGTGCATGTGTTGTATATGTGTGTGTTTGGAGAGCTGAATCAAGGTAGGGACATGATGTAGGGGTGTATGCGGGGTGTGTGTGTGTGGACGCGCGTGTGTGTAATTTGATTGTCTGAGCTCCTGTTTTTGTATTTCCTAAGGGAGGAAAGGGGCAGCGGGATCCGTGCGTTGGGTTGTTTGATTGGGAGCGGACTAGGGGGGCCATATCACGTCTTCGCGGTGTGTGTGTGTGTGTGTATGTGTGTGTGTGTATGTGTGTATGTGTGTGTGCGTGTGTGTGTGTATGTGTGTGTGTGTATGTGTGTATGTGTGTGTGTATGTGTGTATGTGTGTGTGTATGTGTGTGTGTGTATGTGTGTGTATGTGTGTATGTGTGTGTGTATGTGTGTGTGTATGTGTCTATGTGTGTGTATGTGTGTGTGTATGTGTGTGTGTGTGTGTGTGTGTGTGTGTGTGTGTGTGTGTGTGTGTGTGTGTGTGTGTGTGTGCCCCGGAGTGCAGC